GTGCTTCAGTTATTTGTAGTGTTTTTTTTCTGAGTTTATTACAAACCTGCTGCATAAAACAAAAACAGGATCCATCCATGATCTCAACATACAACAGAGCTGTATGTGTAGCTGTAACATAAAATAATACCATCCATGCATGCATCCATCTATCCACCCACCCATCCATCCACCCACCCCCTTTGAGTCCAGGGGGTAGCACATTGAGAAGCCCAGACTTCCCTCACCAGTTCCACCTCTTCTAGCTTATCCCGCAGGACACAGAGTCAATTCCAGGCCAGCTGAGAGATATATTCTCTCCGGGGAGTCCGGGGCCTCCTCCCAGTAGGATATGTCCAAAATACCTCACCTAGGAAGCTTCCAGGAGGCGTACTAGTCAGATGCCCGAACCACCTGAACTGGCTCGTGGTGGAAGACCAGCGGCTCAGAGTCATTCTGGAATAACTGAGCTCGTCACCCTACCTCCAAGAGAGCCCAGCCATCCTTCGAAGGAAACTCATTTCCTCCAAGAATTACTTAGAATAAATTTCCCAGACACAGCAAAACAGTTGTATGAAGCGCTATCATCAAATGAAACCATGTACTTCACTTCATAGAGGTCACAGTCTTTCAGCTGCAGTTTAATAAGCTTGTATGGGTGCATTTCCCACAAGGTGGCCTTTCAAATCATCAAAGTAACTTTCAAAAAATAGCCACAAAGAAAACTCATTCCCTCAACGTCTGAATGAACTGTGAAGAACACAAACATATATGTAACCTATGTCTGAATGAAGAATGCTACTTTAATTTAAAGTCATTGTTCCTAGACTGACATTTTTGTTGAAGCACACATGGCTGATCATCTGTGCCCACTAAGATGGGTGTGGCCTTTGCTCTCTGATCATTCACCTGTTTGATACTTGATAGTGCTGATCACAGCGGATGTTCTTTCTGTGTGCAGAGAGGCACAATCTGATCTTGGCAGGCTTTTTCTAATCCAGATAAGTCTTTATAGTTCCATTTTTATTTTTACTTCTAAAAAAGTTCACATAGCTGCCTTGGACATAGTGTCACAGCAGATGTGACGCTACTGGGAGACATCGTCTATATTCTGCTGTCTCCAAGTGGCTAAAGAAATCACTATTTGCAAGTTTAAAGCTTAAGATATTGTGATGGTCTTGTTATGTATCCCTATTGCGCCTTTGTGGTAGTCCCTCCTACAGCGGATGTCTCCAGTGGCCTATGTTTGCCCTCGCCGCACACATGCACACAATCGAATGGTGAAAACAACACCAGCTACAACCTTCTTTTTTTTTTTTTTAACGAGCTAAACCAGCACATTTTAAATTTTTATCTGCTTGTAAAAATATGAGGCCACTATAGGAAAATCTCCTTTAAAAACAGAGCGGTATTAGCACATCATCAGCTCTGATGGAGTTCCTCCTAATAAAAGCAGCGATAACACATGCATGACTCATACGCCTTCTATGAGTGGTACACAAAAAGAAGTAACTTATTCTCATGGTTACAAAAATAAAAGAAGTCGTTAAGCCTCGTGGTGTTTATGTAGTGGGCGTATGCACGACCGAGGGATGGAAAGCCCAGGCCTCTGTGCAGCGCTTCTACATGTGATCACATCTAAAACACTCATTCAAACCACAGAGCCCAGTGGTCTGTAAATGAAATTGATGTAAATTAAACCAGTGAATGAATATTGGAATTGTACAGCGCTTTGAGGGCCCTGAAAAGCGCTATATAAATGCAATCCATTATTATTATAATTATTATTATTAAATGTTTTGCAATACCTTAAACATATACCGGGCTTTTTTTGTTTTTGTTTGGGCCATTCAGCCTGCCTCCCGCTCTGAGGCAGCGGTGGTCCTGACTGCCAGGGGGCATTGCCTGTCTAGTATGTAGGTCAGTCATGAAGAATCCCAGCTTCCACAATTACAGAGAATGAGACGGCTTGGGACCCAAAACTATCAAGCCCAACAGCTGGGAGATGTTAGGAAAAAAGATCCTCCTCAGTGACTGTAATGAACATTAATGAATGGAGCTAAAAGGACACATGTGGGCAGATGAAAAACAAAAGAAGGCGGACAGGCAGAAGAGGAAAGAGGCTTTCTGTTTGGTGGAAGAGAAAAAAAAATGTTGCAAAAAGGGAAATGTGTTTCAGTCTGAGGAGGTTGAAAAGCCCGTCCCAGTAACAGAAGGCCTGTAGCATGTAGCCCAGATCCTCAGCTCCTCAAGGGTCCAGCCCGGAGCCTTTGACAGATTGTTCACTGTCCCACGTCTGAGAGTTCAGCAGCGTCACCTGCAGCTATAAAACAAAAACAATAACCAAAGATCTACGCTTAAGAAAGGAGAGCAGACTTATATCAGATAATGGTGCTCTTATTTTGAGTTGTGTATCGTTAAATACTTTAATAACTGTAAGGTTGTTGCAAATGATTGCGAGAAACCCCCTCTTCAGTTATATTCGCCATATATCATTACCCAACATGCACTGGGCAATTATGTATGCAAGACAAACTGGATGTATTTTTATTCACATTAATGTAGTCATAGATAAGTTGATACTATGAAAGTCTCAGTATACAATAAAACTAGAGCATGATGTTGTTGACACTGTGGCAGGTGTTGGGTCAGTCCACCAAATGAATAGACTGAAACAGCCGGATGGATGGAAACATATTCCAATTACAGTTTTATAATTGACATGGACATAATGTGTAGACGCTTGGCTTTCATTTGCGGGTCTTCAGATTCAAATTGGATCAAAGGTTTGGGAGTTTCAGATCCTGAACATGTGCCACCCTCTTTTTAAAGGGACCAAATGTAATTGGATCAACTGACTCAAAGGCTATTTCATGGGTAGGTGTTCCTTTGTTATTATATGCTATTATCAATTAAACAGATAAAAGGCCTGGAGTTGATTTGAGGTGTGAAGATTTTTGTTGTGAAAAACATGCAGCTAAAGGAGGTCTCCACGCAGGTGAAATAAGTCGTCCTTAACCTGCAAAAAGAGAAAAAAAAAACATCCAAGAAATGGCTAGAATAGCCGGATTGGCAAAATCTACACTTTGGTAAATCCTGAGAATCAAGGGAAGCGCTGGTGAACTCGGTGCAAAAAGACCTGGATGTCCACAGAAGAAAACAGCAGCGGATGATCAAAGCAGATAAACCCCCTCAGAACGGCCAACCAAGTGAACAACACTCTCCAGGAGTCTGCGTATTGATATCCAAATCTACAATAAAGAAAAGACTGCATGAAAGTAAATACAGAGGGTTCACTGGAAGGCACTCATAAGCCTCAAGAACAGAAAAAAGCCAGCACAGTTCTGCAAAAACATTCTTTGGACAGATGAAAGCAAGACCTCTGTCAGAATGATGGCAAGTAAAAGTTTGGAGAAGGCAGCTCATGATCCAAAGGATACCACATCATTTGTAAAACATACCAGAGGTAGTGTGATGGTTTGGGCGTGCATGGCTGCCAGTGGCACTGGGACACGAGTGTTTACTGATGATGTGACACAAGACAGAAGCAGCCGAATGAACTCTGAAGCGTTCGGAGACAGACTGTCTGCTCAAATCCAGCTAAATGCAGCAAATTGATTGAGGAGTGTCTCATAATACAGAAGGACAATGATCCTAGACATACAGCCAAAACAACCCAGGAGTTTATTAAAGCAAAGCAGTGGAATATTCCAAGAAAGTCACCTGATCTCGACCCAGCATGCATTTCACTTGTTGAAGTCTAAACTTCAGACAGAAAGGCAAACAAACAGCAACTGAACGCCGCTGCAGTCAAAGCCTGCTCGAGCATTAAAAAGAAGGAAAGCCAGCGTCTGGTGATGTCCGTGAGTTCAAGACTTCAGGCTGTCATTGCCAGCAAAGAGTTTTCAACCAAGTATTAGAAACGAACATTTTATTTTCAGTTATTACTTTCGGGCCCTGAAATAAAGGGATTGTGTTGAAAAATGTTTTAGTTCCTCACATGTTTATCTTTTGTTTAACCCACTGGATTACAGCTGGAAGTCAACGGCATCTTGGTTGTTTCATTTAAAATTCTTTGTGGTCATGTACAGAACCAAAATGAGAAAAACGTTGTCTCTGTCCAAATGTATATGGGCCTAATTGTAGCTGCTCTGTGTCCTTTTTTAGGCTTTTTTAAAACTGTGTTTTTTTTATTTACCGGTTTAGCCGTGCATTGTACATTCAAAATAACCAAAGAGAAAAAGTTCACGTTTCACTTTTCTGTACACAAACATCTTGAAATAGCTCACAGAAGCCACGTGCCACAGAAGCCTCTGCAAGTCTGATAGGACAAAGTCTGATGGGATGTAAGATAACTCTTCTGGTAACTGGAACTTAATTGTGTCAGACCTGAAGGAAACGGCTGCACATCAGGACAAGATGATTCCTGTTTTTTTTCCCGTGTGACTGTCACGTGACTTCTAAACTTAGTTTAGTGAGTAAGTGCTCAATATGTAGCAACCGCAGTGCAGTTTCACCTGCTCTACAAACTGCTGCCACAAACACATGAGAAAAAGCAACACGCAGCTACTCATTCATTGTGCTGCCTTTATTAAAAGCACTTTTTTTTCACCCTTAGCCAAGGGATTGTGTTTACTTGAAGCCCCGCAAGGTCAGATTCTGTAATCATGGAAAATGTGAGTCATTATTTTGCCTACTTGCAAGGTATTTTGGAAGGTCTGTTGAAATTTCAGCCCTCTTTCTATCAAATAAACAAAGATATTTTAAGGTTGTTTTCACTGTTAGGAGTGTTTAGAGCACGTACATTATTCTGCAGGAGAGGAATCAGTGCATATGACCTATAGTAACAAATCATTTTGTGTTGGAATAGTGATTTATACCCTCTGAGTATCGGCTGAAATCAGAATTCCACTGTAGAAATGCCAAATGTGCATAATGCAAACAAAAGAAATCATCTGATATGGATCAAAAGCAAATCTATTATCATTTCTTTTACAAATTCTCTCTTTTATTTCATCTAGGGCCAAGTATTTCCGAGGGAAAAAGCTGAACGGGGAGTACGAGATCCGCGTCGAGCAGGTACAGTGTATTTAATAACGCTATTCTGCCTATTCATTATTTTAAAGTCATCATTGATAGCTATTGTGTTATGTACTCATTGATCCTTTAAACATAAATATTTTGCCTCTTAACAGCTTCGTACTGATTGCGCAGCAACATGTCACTAAAATATTTGTAATAAATGATATGAAATGATTTACAAAATGTTTGGTTTTTTATCTGTTCAAAACTTCAAAACCAAAACTGTATAATAATGAATAATGCACACCAAGGTTATTGTCCATTTAATAAGAATGTAATAAATGTTGACAGATTATGGCAGTCCTGACGAGCTACATGTCGTCTTCCATTTAAAGATTTTGTAAATCATCAGTTTGGGACACGTGTGCAGTGGTCCCTTGTTTATCGCAGGAGTTACGTTCCAAAAATAACCTGCAACAGACGAAATCCGCGAAGTAGTCAGCTTAATTATTTTACAGTTATTATAGATATTTTAAGGCTATAAAAAAACACTACACACTTTATGCACTTTTCTCAGACAGACATAAACATTTTTACACGTTTCTCTCTTGTTTAAACACTCGCAAAGTTCAAACCTTCGTAGAAAAATAAGTCCAGTATTATAAAATGAAACCTTTATTGTATTTTTCTTTCGAACATGAGGGTTTGAGGTCTTACGTTTCATGTTTTCTTCAAGCTAAAACTGCACCGCTAGCTTAACGGCTAATTTAAGTTAATGAAGTTGTTCTTTGTCTTAATGGACACTTAAAATTTCTTCTCAGTCTTGAAATCTAAATGATAAGAGTTTTTTTTTTTTTAAATTAACAGCGTATAACATTTAAGTGAATGCTTTAGTTGTTTAGGGGAAAAAACCTCCTAACGCTTCCACTCATGTGTCACCATATTCAATTATTCCTGTAAGGAAGAAAGCGTACGTTAATTCAGCACAGTTATGAAATTACCGCTTATATGTCTAGACATACGGTATTTACAGTGTGTAGATACCATCTAATTTACCTTAAAAAAGCTGTTCAGTTTGACATGTGCAAGCCATTGTTGAGACTGAAGCTGTCTTTGAAATGGAGTGGTGTGTTTTTATGTGAGAAGGGAAAGAAACCGCAGAAAGCTGGAACGCTGATTTTATAGCCTGTTTGCTTTACTCTCAACTGTTGTGGTCACATCCTCCTTCCAGGACGGCGTGGGAGCTGGAATGAATCAACACTTTCTTTTGAAAATTGATTTTTCTTTTTTTAAATCTTGCAGCCTCATAATTATTGAACTCCAATAAAAATGCAGCTGATTTAATAATAAGCTCCCTGAAGAGAATAGTGAGGGTGAACCGACGTATGAGCACCCCTCCACCCCCCACATAGCTCAGCTATAGCTTGAACTGACCTACTTGGATTTTGTTCGACCCTCTTTCCCAGAAGCCCCCTGCACTGACAAATACAAGTCGGTTGCTAATTGCCTTCAGCAGCCAGATTCTTCATCGGCTGTTTGGAGCCTCAGAATGATGGAAACACGATCTCTGTGTGAAAACTTTGCGACATGCTGCGATGAACCATTTTAGGGAACAACAATAAAAGCAGAGAGTCCCACTGCACTGGCTTCTGCTCTCTTGAATTCCACTGTTGTTGGCTTCTTATATAAATGTCCTTTCTTGAGTGACTTTGGGCTTTGGGGAGGCCAATCAATGTCTGATAGGTTTCCACTGTGTGTTTTTCTATCCAGGAATGTTTTTACACACTGCACTGGGAGTGTGTTTGGGATAATTGCTGTTGCCAGTCAAACACTTTCCAGATGATATTACTTGGCAGATAAGATAAATCTAACTGCACTTTTCTGCCTTCATATTTCCATCCAGTGTGACAGTTTGGGAGCTGAAATGCAGTTCCACACCATGACAGAGCCTCCTCTGTGATCGACTGAAGGGCCAGATGCATCTCTTAGGTCTTTGTTGTATTTTTTTTTTTTTGTGTCATTTTTGAAGAACATGACATTTAGATGATATTCAGTTGCTTCAGATTTAGTTTTTGGGGCCTGCCACTTCCTTTTTTGTTCTCCGCTTGTTCAGTTTTCCTCAATTTTCTTTAACAAAATGTACACCATGCCAAGATATGTCAAGTATTTAGCTAATAGCTCTTTGGGAATCACTTTGTTGGTGCAAAAATACTTTTTTATGCCTGTCAAACTGTGTTATCTTTGGCACTTTTACAACTAAAGAAATGGGAATAAATGGTGTGACGGGCTGCTAGTGACAAAGTGCCTAAAGATACAATTTAAATGAGCTCTTTGCTAATTTGTCTGCTTTGTATAGACACAGCACTGGTAAAAAAGGGGGCCAATGTTCAAAGTAAGAGCGGCTGCTCAAGACAGCTTTGAAAAATTACAAGACAGTGTGGCTTTTCAGAAGCAAAACATAAAGAAATCAAGGGTGGCTCAAGATTTTTGCCCAGTACTGAAAATAGCCTCTTTGTTTTTTTTTTCACCAGAGTTGAAAGATAGCTCAACATGAAGGCCGTTTAGGTGCTCCCTGAGCTGTTTTTTCTCTGTTATAATGTAATTACAAACTGCATGCCTTACATGGATGGACATTTAGTTTGCTAGTTGCCATGCATCATGTTCATGCTGGTTAAGCTTTCTAAAGCAATGCCAAACCTTCATAACTCTTCTCTGACTTGCTTGCTGCCATATAAGGTACCATCTTTAGACTCGCAGAGCACACACTCACCACAGCGTGTGATGGTGCACTAAAGGAGGCCGGATGCCAGTCCGAACTTGTCCGAAAGAGAACCAGGAGAGACTGGCTTTGATTCTCAGATGTGATCTCTCATTAAAGTGTGCTGCCTCTTATTTACACGACTCACTTCGAACTTCAGTTTAGTTGATGCTCACAGCCCCGTGTACACTGGCTAATCCCATTTTTCTTTTTTTAACCACTAAACAGATGCTTGTGGGAGTGCTGCTGGTGGCTTATTTGTGCTCCTAAGTGACTCATAAAACAAGCTTGAACCCATTGCTTTCTCACAAAATCATTACATGCAGCTTGTTCAGTAGTATTTCTTGATTCTGTTGGGGTTGAGGGTAACTGTAACTCAGCATACCGTCTGGATTACAAACACATAAACAGTCCTGACTGCAGAGAGCCTGTTTCTGTGTAACTTCTTCACTGCACTCGGCAGTCATCGGGCTGGGAGTTGTAGATTTCTTTCTTTCATTGAAGCAGTTAGGCAGCACAGTGGCACCGTGGTTAGCACTGTTGCCGCACAGCAAGAAGGTCCTGAGTTCAATTCCACCATCAGGCCGGGGTCTCTCTGTGTGGAGTTTGCATGTTCCCCGTGTTTGCGTGGGTTCCCTCCGGGTACTCCGGCTTCCTCCCACCGTCTAAAGACATGCAGCTTGTGGGGATAGGTTAATTGATTAATCCAAATTGCCCATAGGAGTGAATGTGAGTGTGAATGGTTGTCTGTCTCTGTGTGTTAGCCCTGCAACAGACTGGCGACCTTTCCAGGGTGTACCCTGCCTCAACAGACCCGGCCTTTCTGATGAGTTTGTTCAGTTTGTTTGCGTCCTTTGCTTGATGCCTCGCCCCCTGCACGCCGCAGCAAAGAAGATGGTGCTTGCAACAACAGACTGATAAAACATTTAGAGCAGCCAGCTGCATACATTGAAGTATCTGAGCTTTTGTAGAAAGTAAGTCCAGCTCAGACCCTTTTTGTAGGCAGCGTCAGTGTTAGCAGACCACTGCAGCCTGTGGGCCAGTTGATACTTATGTAAATGGTAAACTGCCTGTATTTGTATAGCGCTTTACTTAGTCCCTATGGACCCCAAAGCACTTTACACTACATCCACCCATTCACACACTGGTGATGGCAGCTACATTGTAGCCACAGCCACCCTGGGGCGCACTGACAGAGGCGAGGCTGCCGGACACTGGCGCCACCGGGCCCTCTGACCACCACCAGTAGGCAACGGGTGAAGTGTCTCGCCCAAGGACACAACGACCGAGACTGTCGGAGCCGGGCTCGAACCGGCAACCTTCTGATAACAAGACAAACTGCCAACTCTTGAGCAACGATTGCCCCAAATTTTATATTGTGAATATTTCAATATCAGTCCCACCAATGCAGACTGGGGAGGGTCGGGATCTGTTCCTGCCAAAGTCCTCCTCCAGCTCCTTTTGTTTTGGCCACATTTAGCTGCAGGTGATTCACCTCACACACCGATCAGTCAGTCCTCTGTACGCCTCTTCCTATCACATCTCCTCACTTCCAGTAATGGCTGTGTCATCAGAGAATTTCTGCAGGAGACGAGTTTCTTTGATGTACTTGAAGTCGGCTCCATAGATGATGAAGAGAAAAGGGGAGAACACAGTTCCCTGCATTTCCATCCCAATCTTTAATCACTCTAACCTGTTGCACATCCTTAGTGTTCGGCCTCACGTACAACTCACTACAAACCATTTCCTTTGCAACCCCCCGCTGAACATTAATGAAATTTGCTAAATACTAAACCAGTTATGACAAAGGCTACATATCTACAGATTTCCCAGATATTTCTACCTCACTGTGGTCCTGTCTAACCAAGCAAGGCCCAAACAGGGAAACATCAGAAATCAATTATATCCCTAACATAACCCCGTCTTCTGACCTGCGTCTGTATTATATCCTTCATAGATGTTAACTTGAGGAGTTTTATCTCGCAGTAGGTGGCTGTAGATTATTCGACCCTCTGACTCAGTCAATTTGTTATTTGAACACTTGCCTGCTGTTTTACATTTAGACTCAAGAGCTGTGTTCATTCAGACGAGTGGTACATTCCACAGATCTCTGGATCTTGTGGGATATCCATCTCCTACAATGCCTTTTGTATGTGTCTGAAGGGTCTTGGATGTGTTGCAGCCTTGTGGCAGTGCCAAGTTCAAGACCTTCTCATTTAGTTTCTCGTGCACTGGCAGTTTTTTACCGTGCCTGTTTCACTTTTAGATATTTAGAAAATTCTGACAGTCTGCTGCAAGA